TCCCAGTGCATTTTTGTCTTTTGATTTCCTGACTGCTGGTGCCAAGAGTGCTGATTGTGAAGCCCAGCAAATTGTAATTGTGAACAACCTCACTTTCTTCTCTCCATCTATCATGGTGCTGCCATTTGGCTCAGTGGTAGGAATCTTTGTTTCCTTCATGTTGAGCTTCAATCCATATTGAAGACTAGAGTCTTGACCTTCTGCAGCAAGCGTTTTAGGTCCCCCTCAGTTTCAGCAAGTAAGGTTGTGTCATTTGTATAATGCAGTCCTGATGCCACATTTCTCCTCATAAAACCTAGACTCCCCAGTTATCTGTCCTGCATATTGATTGAAAAAAGTATACATCCCTGACACACTCCTCTTCTGAATTTGAACTACGCAGCATTTCCTTGGTTTGTTCTGAGGACTGCTTCCTGGTCTGAGTATAGGTTTCACATGAGCATAGTCAAGTGTTCTGGGATTCCCATTCTCCTCAAGGTTAACCACAATTTGTTGTGATCCATACAACCAAATGTGTTTGTTTAATCAATGAAACACAGATACACATACACATTCTTCTAGTACTCTTTGCTTTCTGCCAAGATCCATTTGACATTGGCAATAATGTTTCTAGTGCCACGACCTCTTCTAAACCTAGCTTGTATTTCTGGCAGTTCTCGGTCAATGCACTGTTCCAGTCATTTTTTTATAATCTTCAGCAAGATTTTGCTCATGATATTGCTCAATAATTTACACACTCTGTAGGGCCACCTTTTTTTAAAAAAATGAGAATAAATATGGATCTCTTACAGTCAGTTAGTTAGGTAGTTATCCTCCAGATTTCTTGGCACAACCTGGTGAGCACAGCTAGGGCAGTATTTGCTGGTTGAAATATGTTAATTGGTGTTCCATCAATTCCTGGGGAAGTAAAAAGGCTTTAATTCAGGTCAGCAGCAAAATACAGTCAGTGCAGCTTCAGAAATGTGTTTACAAGTGCCTCAGACTTGACCCATTGGTCTTTAGGCCTACATTAAAAAGGTCTCAGTACTACCATTTATGACTGCCTCCTAAGCCCCCAACCAGTCCTCCTACACACCTGGACGAAAGGCTCTCAGCTCTAGTTCAATGACATAGCAGTCCCAAAGTCCACTCCATCTCATGTGAGATCTCTGGTTCTCCGCTGTGGCTGCTATGGTTGTTGCTGTCATAGGCCTTAGCCTGACTGGTAGAAGAATTTCTGGTCCTGATGGATGTGTTACATTCTTTTGCTTCTTCTTTGCTGTTGGTTAGAAGTTTCCTATTCTTCTGCAATATCCAATCTCCTTGTGGACTGGTGAGCTTTGCCAAACCCATTGTGGATAGGCTAACACGTCCTAGTCGCATATTCCTCTTCATCCACATGGCAAATTTAAAGTCAACTGACTAAGGAAACCATTTTGAACAATAAACCCTTAACTATCACTGATCTTTCTAATAGGCACAGATATGGATGTCTTTTAGTCAGTTGGCCAAGTAGCTGTCTTTAAAATTTCTTGGCATAGAAGAATGAGTGCTTCCAGCATTGCACAAGTTTGTTGAAACATCTTTATGGATATTCTGCCAATTCTTGCAGTTTAGTGTCTCATCAATGACCTTATCAATGTCTTCGTTCTTCAATACTAGTTCTTCATCATATGCCATCTCCTGAAATAACTGAACATTAACTGATTTTTTTTTTACAGTACTATGTGCATTTCCTCCATTTTCTTTTGACACTTTCTGTGTTACTCAATATTTTGTCCTGAGAATCCTTCATATTGATTGCAACTTAAGGCTTGGATTTTTTTCTTTAGATCTTTCAGCTTAACATGTCAAGCATGTTTTCCCCCTTTGGTTTTCTAATTCAAGGCCTTTGTATATGTCATTATAATACTTCATCTTTTCTAGCTGCCTTTTGAAATCTTTTCTTCTATACATTTTCCCCATTTATTATTACTATTCTATTGTTTTATGATCAGTACAGAGACATTATAATAAACCTGTACACATTTTATGTATATGCCAAAAATCTAAAAAACTATGTAGTTCCAAATTCTTTCTAAATTCCAACAGCCCTCGAGCTTTCATTGTGAGGCAAATTTTCACTAATAGAAAAATGAATACCAATATCTTCAATTATTGATAAACTTATAGAGCATTAAGCTCCAGATTCATAATTTAATATCTAACATATAAACCATATACTCAAATTTTCGTAGCGCATACATCTGGTAGTCTAGAGGTAGGAAGCTGTGCTGCAGTTTCAAAGGCATGCAGTTTGAGTCCACCAGCTGCTTCTCAGGAGCAGGATGGGCAATCCCCTCCTGTGTGATTTACTGCCAAGGAAAACCTGGAGCGTCAGCTGAGGGTTAGTTCCAATTTGATGGTACATAACAAGAATGAGATTATTAGGAAAACTGGATGACCATGACCAGAGGTATTATAGACTACTCACAGTACTGAACCTGGAGAGCCTTGGTAAGGGAGTAGGTTTGGCTTTCTTTTCAAGAAAAGATAATTTTAATGAAAAAAGAGATAAATGTAATTTATTTCAAATATTTAAGTTATAAATACATGAGCATGACTCTCAATTGCTATCAAGCATCCTTACACTTTGAGATATTAAAATTTACCCTCTCTATAGAATGTTGCATTGACACACAGGCACTAACAACCTTCTGGGTATTTTTGTCTGTACTACAAAATAAATCAACAAATTATTTTACCTTTTAAAATACAACTATGTTCACATAAAACAGCACATGAAGGATAATGTATTTCTTAAATGCATCTCCATAACCACTAAAAAACGCATCTAAAAATATTTGATAAAAAATATTGCTCTGCATTGTATAGAAAGGAAAGTACAGAGACCATTGATAAATCATAACAAATACTATCACTGACAGCATTATAGTTTGTTGTTGTTGTTGTTGTGTACCATAGAGTCAGAACCAACCCATAGCTGACCTTCTGATAGATTTTCAGAGGCAGGTAACGGCATGGGAGGCAATTGCTCATCCTCCCACAGAATAGCTGGTGGCCTCAAACCATATACCTTAGACATTACAGGGCAGCTTCTTGCCACTAGGCCACCAAAGCTCCCTATTATAGTTTAGGTAGATGTTGAAATGAGGCTTACAATCACATATATCACCATTCTTCTTCAAGTCATCATTTTAACATTGTAGACCATGTGATCAACCAACTCAAAATATCTGTTTTAACTGATTAAAGCCCAAGATTTCTATCTTTATGCATTTTATTTCACTTCCAATTATCCTAGGCATATGATTTGTGCTTTACAAATTATGATAATTATTGGATGTTTGAGGCTGTTTCTTCTCATTTTGATTTATGAAACATCAGTAATCAATGGTCCCAAAACATATACCCCATCCATGGCATTAAGGTCAACTTTATCTTGAAAAGGCAACTTTACAAATTTGTGATGAGAGGCTCATCATTTTATACTATATCAGATAATATCTGCTATGATTTATAAGATTCGTAAGATTTTCATTGGTAATTTTTTTTTAGAAATATGTTACAGATCTATGAGGCCTTCCTTATTATATGTCTTAATCTGAAAGCTCTGAGGAAACATGTTCACCATGAGTATGCACTGCTGCTATTTAAAAGACTAGTGACAAAGCTTTGAGCATCAAAGAAACATGCATGTCACCATAGTATAACAAAGTGACAGGTGAGCTGTTACTGAAAAATTGATGGAGGATAATTCTAACCTGACATATGTGAGGCCTCTGGGAACTAGGATTGGTGAGTTCTCCTGCAGAATCAATGCTGTCAAGAGTTGACTGTATATGTGTGATGGTCATTTAAGCATCACAATTTTATCAAACCTGGCTTGTGATGGCTTTTTCTCTTTCAGACAAAATAGACCTTAAGGTGATGCTCTTTTGTACTCATTGTGTTATCTAGACTATAATTTCTATTCTTTAAATGTTCCTGCTTCCCTGGAGTTCTTATTCTTATATTGTAGATTTGTTGCCACTTAGCTCAGTCACTAAAGCTCTTTGCAGTTACTACAAGGAATCCTGCTACTCAGTTCTAGGTGTTACTTTGATAAGTTCACTCTTTTGGGGTGGCCTGTAATATATACTCCCTGTATATAGCTTTTCTCCCAAAATCATTATACTATAAAGTATTTTTGTCACCTTTTCCTATATATATTGCTTAAAAATGCAAAATAATAATGATAATAAAACAAGAAGAAAATTCATTTTAAAAAGTAAAAGGTAAATCTGGAGGCAATAAGAATAACGTTTTAATAATTCATCCTCACCTGGGCCATCTCCAATGCTACCTAATTCTCTTCTTAATGCACTATTTGCAAGTTGTAAGTCATAATGGCCTACTGGCAAGAAGCTGTGCTGCAATCCTGAAGACATGTAGTTACCATCCACCAGCTGTTTCGTAGGAGACACATGGGCAATCTCCTCCAATGAGATTAACTGCCTCTGAAAATCTGCTGGAGGGTCAGCTATGAGTCAGTTCCAACTTGACAGTATACACCACCACCACAGTACGTGCCTATGTGTCAAGGTAACTTCATGAATCTGCTTACTAAGTCAAAGCCATTGCTGTGAGGTTAGAACCAAGTCACAGCTGACCCTCCAGCATGTTTTCAGAGGCTGTAAATCACATGAGAAGAGATTATCCATCTTTCTCTCAAGGAGCTGCTGGTGGATTTGAACCATCAGAAAGGCCGCCACTGGACAGCAGCAAATCTCCTCTGTAGTCTATGCCACTAGATCTCCCTAAGTAGTAAAAAAAATAGCAATTTAAAAACTAACTAAAAAATTAGTGATATGAGCTTCATCTGAAGGAATTAAGGGGTGGTTCTATTTGTTTATGTACTAACCATAAATCTTGACCTGATTATTCAACTTTAGAACACCACTGAAATTTATTTCAGTTATCTGAAACCGAACATTATCATAAAATAAAAAGAACTTTGTTCAAAGGCGAAACCAACCAACCTTTTTTTTCCAAGGGAGGCTCTTCTATTTCTCCTAAAGCAAGACACAAACAATAAATTAGGAAAAAAAAACCACTTTAGAATAAAATGCCATTACTTTTCTTTTGTCCCTTAATAAAAAATTCTGTTTCAACAAGCCTATAACTTATACTACTTTCCTCTCCAATTACATTCTTTAAATGCAAACTTTATTTATGAACATTCATTTAAAATAGCTTCACTTTTATGAGCTCAACAAAAGTATGGCAATGATCCAAATTATGCATTATAGTACATACATCATGTTCATTTCCAGTCTCCATTGTTCATTATGACCTCTCAACTGGGGCCAAGCAAAGAGAAATTCAAATAAAGTTGTAGAAAGATATATAAAAAGCTTTTCTGGTATCAGGACAGAGCACATGATTTCTCATAAACAAAGATCTTAAAAACTCAAATTCACTGTCATTGAATCAGAACCAATTCACATGTGACCCTCAGCCAGTTTTTAAAGGATGCAATGTTGACAGGATGAAATGATTCATCTTTCTTCCAAAAGGGTCCTGGTGGATTCCAAACATCAGAGAGGTGTCACCCTTGGGTTCATGGGGTGATTCTCTAAAGACTACACCACCAGTGGTCCCGAAGGTTGACCCTAAAAGAAGTCATCTAAACTACAGAAATACAGCTATTTATTATTGTCTTTCTATTACTTTTAATCTACTCTTTAGCTGTTTATATGTGGTTTGGTTTTGCTATTTCTTTTTTATTCATAATATAGATGAGATAGCACAGAGGTATTTTGTTATGGTTTGATAAATTTACTTTTGTTTGGAATGTTAGCGGTTTTACTTTTTGCTACTCGACATAAATACGACTGATGTAAATGAAACATTTACATGTACAACTTGAGAAATAATGGCATTTTTTAAAAAAGACACAAATAAATATGTTTCTATTAGGACTCAATAATTGGGCATAACAAGACACTTTCTGTAATAAGATTCTCTAAAGGTTGCACTTATTTTGATGCCTTTTCCATAATGGCAGATGAGCTAAAAGTTGAAAGCTAGATACCAATTTACTCAATTGGTAGCTTGTAGGTATGATGTAAATAGAAGTGTATTTGTTTTGTTTTGCTCTGATCCAAGTACTCGTTTATGTTTGAAGATAACTAACTATAGGTAATAAGTTATTTCATATGGGTTCTAGGAGTTAGAAACGTCTCTAAATTCATTGTACCTTTATCAGCATCCTCATCTTCATCATCGACCTCATCTTCTTCATCACCGTCAGATGATATGATGTCAGACAACAAAGAAAAGAAGCCATAAACCCAGTCAGTAGTTTCTTCTACAGCATCATGAACAAGTTTGAGAGGATCTGAACCAATCTTGGCAAGGGAGCTTGCTGAAAGTAATATAAAACAGAAGCAATATTTTACAATCACCCCCTAAGAAAAGTTGTTCCTCTTAATTTGTTTTAGGGTTTTGGTCTTTGTGACAAAATGCGCATGCCAATTGGAGAACATAAGTATCTAATGACTACCTTTTCAAATTAATAGCAAAAGTCATTTATTCATGCTGTTTTTGTAGAGTCTAATATAAATAAATAGACCTAATTATCTCTGGTACAAAGCACCATAGCATTACCCAGAAAACAATGACCCTTGAAAATTTTACAATATGAGGAATAAATTAGTATATATTTATGTTAACCAAATTTAAATAAACACCTTAAATTATAGATGTTCCAAAATGAGAAAAAATAATTATTAGTCCATATTGTATTGTAGAGAAAAAGGTACTGAAAATTTCAGGCCAACTCAATGTTGGCTGAAGTAGTTGTGACTAGAATTAGGCCCATTTATTACAATTACAAGAATGAGGAAATCTGAAATTGTCAAGGTAGTAGTCACATACAAGCTAGATTAAAATGGATTTACTTTTAGACATTTAAGTAACTAAAATAAACACAAATTGTCTTTCTAGTAGTGTCTTTGGATGGAGTTAGTAAAACTTAAATCAGTAAATGCTCTGCAAGAAGATACAGGAAGTTTGAGAAATGACAAACCAAATAATAAAAAATACAAGCAAATAAAGGCCTTCTGGAGTTCCATAGCACTGTTACACTCATTTTAAATTAATAAAAAAATGCTCTCTCTGTATTGTCAAGGGCATTCCTGAGGACATGACTGAATATATATAGTATATACTGCACCTGATCTTTCACCAATGAAAAGATAGCTTTTAGAGTTTTATTAGTCTTAATTTTTAAAACTATTTTAGCCTTATATATATTCTTGCTCTTTTGCTATTTTAAAGATATAGGAGTTATACTAACATATTATGTTATCTAAAAGTTAAGTACTTCAAAAGTGGGCTCTTACTCTGATTGAAATGGCAGCTTTTAAGTAGAGAAATAAGTGACTTTATTTATGTAATTTATTTTGCTGTGTCCAAGATGTCAAACTGGAAATAAAGAGACCAGTAAAGAGACTACTGAAATAATCCAGGAAAACGACTACGATGATTTCTTCAAAGATAGTAACAGTGGTAAAGAGATGCAGATGGGTTTTGAACATGTGATTGTTACCGGGAACTATTGACTACCACTCACAGCAACTCTATGAGCAAATTCACATTGTTTCATCCTGTGCCATCCTCAGTATTTTCACTGTGCTGAAGTCCATTGTTGTAATCACTGTGCCAATACCTCTCATTGAGGATATTCCTTTCTTTTACTGACCCAAAGATGATGAAATTCAGAATTTCTACCAACTTCTGCAGTCTGAAAATGCTCAAACATTCAAAGAAGATGCATTAATAGTAATTGATGACTGGCATACAAAAGTCAGTATTAAATTAAAAAGACTGATACTTGGAAAATATACCCTTGGTGGTAGAAATGAGGCCTAAGAATATATGATAACATTTTATACAATCAATGATTTATCCATTGCAAATAACTTTTAAAAAGCATAAATGACAAGTTTATGCATGAAATACAAAGGGCTAAAAGATTACACTCTGAGTAGATATTAAATATAGAATCCATAATATATGTTTAAAATTTGTTTTGGGGTGTGAGAGGAAAGAGATGACTCCAAGGAAAATGTCTCAATATTCATTTTGAGAAGCTGAAAGAATGAAAATACCTTTTATTGAGTTGGGGAAAACTTGAAAAAAAGGTAGAAGTAAGGGAAAAAAATCCCAGACCCCCAAATAACAAGAACTAGAATAGAACAATAGACAATTAGCTTGGTTTCAGGCCTACTAATTGAGTGGTGTCCTCTACTTATAACCAGATATGTACAAAGTCATATGGTTCCAACAGATTTCACAGAGGCTAACTGCTGCATCAAAGAGTTGGACAATGGTTAAAGATGACAGAAAAAGAATCAATGCCATCAAATTTTGGTGCTGGAGAAGAGTCTCGGACATATCATGGAGTGCAAGAAAACAAGTATGTCTTGGAGAGGGTTAAACCAACTTTCTCCTTGGAGGCTAGGATTTTGAAGATCCATCTCCTATACATTGGGCACATGGCCAGGAGAGACCAGTCTTTGGAGAAGGACATCATGCTTGGAAGAGTGGAGGGGCAGTGCAGGAGGAGAAGACCCTGGATGAAATGGATTGATACAGTGACTGGGGCAATGGGGGTTAATGTGTTGGAATTAGTGAGAATGGACCAGGACAGGGCAGGGTTCAGAGCTGCTATACGTAGGGTCACTATGGGTGCAGGTGACTTAGTGGCACATAATAACAACTGCTACATGAAAATAATAACCTGAAAATTTAACAGACTATAGGATATATTCGAAGTAATGACACAGGATGGGACCACCAAGGCAGTGAACACAGGAACCCTCCATTGTTTAGAAGACAGATGAGTTGATTTGCTGGGGAAGAACTAGCAAAGGAAACTAAGGAGAAGCCTGAAGGAATGATGGGAAACCAAGCAATTGCACTGTGCAACATATCAAGTGAAGAAACCCTCAAGGAAGATATGGTGGTCAATTGCAAATGCTGCCAATTAGTCAATCAAGATAAAGATTGAGAATTGACATTGGGATGTAATGATGTCAAGGTCATCAGTGACCTTAAAGCGTAGTTTTACTAGAGAACATTCAAGATAGAATGGCCTGGAAAGAAAGAATTTAGAGGCAATAGGATGTGAAAGAGCTAGAGTTAGAAAATCAAAAGGGGCAAGCTTGCTCAGCTTTCTTCAGCTGGACGAACTGAAGAACAAGCCTCAAGTTGCAATACTTAAGGATGCTGTGGGCAGGAAGACAAATGACCCAGGAAGCATCAAATGAAGATGGGAAAAGTACACTGAGTCACTACAGTAAAAGGAATTGGCTGACACAGAAGAATTTAAAGAAACAACATATGATCAAGAGCATATTGTGATAAAAGACAAAGGTCAATCTGTTCTTTAGAATTGGAAAAATAAACAAGGCCTCAGACATTGATGGAATACCAATTGACATATTTCAACAAACAGATGCTGCCCTGGATGTACTCACCAGGCTGTGCCAGGAAATTTGGAGGACAACCACCTGGCTAACTCACTGGAAGAGAGCCATATTTATTTGCATTTTTTTAAAGGTGGCCTGACAGAGTATGGAAAGTATCAAGCAATATCACTAATATCACATGTAAGCATGTGATTTTTCAATGCTGAAAATTATCCAAAAATGACTGAAACAGATTATCAAGAGAGAACGTCCTAAGTTAAAGCTGGTTTTAGAAGAGGCTGTGGCACTAGGGACATTATAGCCAAGGTTAGATGGATCTTATTTGAAAGCAGAGAATACCAGAAGAATGTCCATCTGTGTTTCACTGACTATGTAAATGCATTTGACTGTGTGGATCACAAAAACTGTGGCTGACTTTGAGAAGAATGGAATTCCCAGAACATGTTATTGTGCTTATGTGAAACTTATACTTGGACGAAAAGGCAGTTATAAGACCAGAGGAAGGAAACACTGCAGAGTTGAAAATCAGGAAAGGTGTCCACCAGGAGTGCACCGTATCTCTATCCCTTTTCAATCTATATGTGGAACAGATCATCCGGGAGGCTCAGCTCTATGAGGGAGAATAGGGTAACAGGATAATGGAAGGCTCATCAACAACCTGCATTACATAGATGACACAACTTTGCTTGCCAAAACTGAGGAAGATGGGAAGCATTTGCTGCAGAAAGTCAAGGACTACTGCCTTTAACGTGGACTGGAGCTCAACATCAAAAGACAAAACAAAACAAAATATTCTCACCACTGGACCAATTGACATGATAAAGGGTGAAGAGAATGAAATTGTTAACAACTTCAGCCTGCTTGACTCCACAGTCAATGCTCTTGGTACCAACACGAAATAAAAAGATGAATTACATTAGGAAAATCTGCTGTTACGGATCTCTCTAGAATACTAAAGAGCAATGATGTCTGTCTAGACACCAAGGTGTTCTTGATCCAGACCGTGGTCTTTGCAATTAGTTGCTGTGTATCAAAGAGCAGAATAATGACTAAGGATGACAGAAGAAGAAAATAGGCTTTTGAGTTGTGTTGCTAGAGAACAGCATTGAATATAACATGGACTGCTAGGAAAACAAACAAGTCCAACCTGGAGAGGGTGAAACAAGGCTGCTCCTTGGAGGCAAGTGTTTGGAAGCTCTGTCTGATATTGGGCATGTGACCAAGAGAGACCAGTCGTTGGAGAGGGACATCATGCTTGGGAGGGTGGAGGGACAGCACAAGAGAGGAAGATCCTGGATGAGATTAATTGACTCAGTGACCAGGGTAATGGGAGTAGGTGTGCCAGAGACAATAAAAATGGCTCACGATAGAGTAGGGTTCAGAGCTGTTGTACATCGAGTCTCTATAACTAGCAGGCAACTTGATGGCACATAACAATAACAGTAACAGCAGCAATAATGTGAATGGCAGAGTTGGAGCTATAGTTGATGCAGTAGTAGGATCATAAGGTTTTCTGTTGTTGTTAGCATTTTTTTTTAAATGGGAAGAATAAAAGCATATTTTATGCTGATGAGAAATATCCTACGGAGAAGGAAAAGTCATATGAATGAAAGAGTTCCTAAGACAATGTTCAAATTTTATGTTCTACTCCAGAGAATTCATAGAGCTTTAAATTCATCTACAGCACCTATATTATGACCTGCTTCCTGTTCTTAGAGAAGTCTATCTCTATGATCCACTTAAAGTGCATCTTTACATTTTGTTCCCTATTTATTATAACCCTCCAAGAGCATAAAATGCTACTCTGAATATTCTGACTAAAGCTAGAGAAAAGAGATAAAATAGAAAATGAACATCACAACTGATTTTAAGGAACTATATATAAAGAACTGGATTGTACTAGCACCATTAAAGGCATTTTTAGCACTAG